ATTTCCTATTCTATTCCATTTCCTATTCTATTCTATTTCCTATTCTATTCTATTTCCTATTCTATTCCATTTCCTATTCTATTCTATTTCCTATTCTATTCTATTTCCTATTCTATTCCATTTCCTATTCTATTCTATTTCCTATTCTATTCTATTGTATTCTATTCTATTCTATTCCATTTCCTATTCTATTCTATTTCCTATTCTATTCTATTGTATTCTATTCTATTCTATTCCATTTCCTATTCTATTCCATTTCCTATTCTATTCTATTCTATTTCCTATTCTATTCTATTGTCTATTCTATTCTATTGCCTATTCTAGTCTATATCTTATTCTATTGTATTTCCTATTCTAATTCTATTCATTCTAATTCTATTCTAATTTTTATTCTAGTTCTATTTTATTCTCCAATTTAATTTTTATTTACCTTTAAAAAAAAAACCTTCTAGTGTCTCCAGGAGAACCTCCGTGAACGGGAAACTGAGCTTTCTGCTGAAAAGAAAAATGCCCTGAAGCGAGACAAGACCATCCAGGGTTTAACCCTTGTTTTAAAAACCAAGGAAAACGAGGTAGGTGAGATTTTTGTCTGTCCTGCCAAGAAACAGATTTGGAAAAAAACAGAACAAAAACGCATGAAGTCTTGAGGCTGAAGAATATATCAAAATATAAAAGCCTCCTTGGCTGCGTCAGACTGCAAGTCCCCTTTTCTAGGGAGGGAGGTGTCTTCTTGCCTTTGGGGGTCAATTCACTGGTTTCCATCTGCGCCTCTATATTTTCCCTACTTTCGTCTTGTTATAGACTGGAGAACTCGCTTCCGAGGTAGAAAGCCTGAAAGCTTTGTTGGCGAAGTCTGCAGAGATCGGTTCCGAAGCTCAGATGCAGAAATTCAAGGTTGGCCAAAGGAGATGGAGTGGATAGGATTTGCAGCTCAGGGTGAAACTGTGGGGTCCTTGGTGCTCTCTGAGCTGGGGTTGTTTTCTTGCAGACGTTCCATGACCCAACTAGGTGACATAATCAGTGCTAAAGGGGAGGGGAGTCTGGGTAGGAGGTCTGTGAGGGTGCTCTCTGAGCTTAGTGGTTTACTTACAGATGTTTCATTATGCAACTAGGTAACGTCACCAGTGCTGGAAGGGAGAGGAGTTTCTGGAGAGGAGGAGGAGGAGGAGGAGGAGGAGGAGGAGAGGGAGGGAGGAGGACTATGGGCTCTTTGGTGTTCTCTGAGCTGGGGTTGTTTTCTTACAGATGTTTCTTGACCTGACAAAGTAACATCATCAGTGCCGGAAGGGACTGTGGAAGGGAAGGAGGAGGATGGGGAGGAGGAAGAGGAGGAGTATTGTGGGGTCATTGGAGCTCTCTTAACCTGGTTGATTTCCTACAGATTTTTCATGACACAGCTAGGTAACATCATCAGTCTAGAAGGGAGTGGAGTTTGCAGACAGGAGGAGGAGGAGATAAAAGGAGGAGGAGGAGAACTGTGGGGTCCTTGGTGCTCTCTGAACTGGGGGTTGTTTTCTTGCCGATGTTTCTTGACCTGACAAAGTAACCTCATCAGTGTTAGGAGGGAGTGGAATTTGTGGAGTGGAAGGGAAGGAAGAGAATGGGGAGGAGAAAGAAGAGGAGTATTGTGGGATTCTTGGTAGTCTCTTAGCTTCGTTGTTTTCCTGCAGAGGTTTCAGGACCCAGCTAGGTAACATCATCAGTGTTAGAAGGGAGTGGGGTTTGCAGACAGGAGGAGGAAGAGGAATATGGGTTCCTTGGTGGTCTCTAAGCTTGGTTGTTTTCCTACAGGCCTTTCATGACCCACCTGGGTAATATAATAGGTCTAGAAGGGAGTGGAGTTTGCAGACAACAGGAAGAGGAGGTGAACTGTGGGGGTCCTTGGTGCTCTCTGAGCTGGGTTGTTTTCTTGCAGATTCATTACCCAACTAGATAACATCACCAGTGTTAGAAGGGAGTGTGGTTTATGGAGTGGAGGAAAAGGAGGAGGAGGAGGAGGATTATGGGATTCTTGGCGAATTGAGTTGTTTTTTCAGCAAACATTTCAGGATCCAGCTAGGTGAGACCGTCTGTTTTAGAAAGAACTGTAGATAAACAGAGAGCGAAGCCCGCTCCCTTCTGGGACTAATGATATTACCTAGTTGGGTCACGAAAGGTCTCCAGAAAAGAAGCCAAGCTCATAGAGACCACCAAGACCTTCATGGAGTGGGGACCGCCTTACGAGAGGCCTCAACCCCTTCAAATGGGAGAGAAGGTTGCCATCCCAAGGCACAACATTTAGTCATGCACGTATTAAAATAAAAACAATGCACAACCCTTTTATAAAACCAATACAATAGCAGAGTTGGAAGGGACCTTGGAGGTCTTCTAGTCCAACCCCCTGCCATCTTTTCTACCTGTGGGGCAGAGCTGTTGTCATAACCCTTTTGATTTGCTTCTCCCAGGAGGCTGAAGGTCCCCAGGAGCTCCTGATGGAGAAGGAGAGCCTGTTGGCAGACTTGCGCTCGCGGAACCTCACCAAGGACACCGAGAACCGGAAGCTCCAACGGAAGCTGAAGAGGATCGAGCAGGAGCTGAGCGAGCTGCTCACGGAGAAGGAGAAGCTGGCCGGAGAATTGGACGAAGCTCGGCAGCAGAAAAACCAGAGCGACAAAACCATCCACGTGAGTGCGCCCTTTTTCTTACCCTTTTTTTGAATAATCCGGGTTGCCGGGGCCGTTCGGTAGCAGAAGCTGGCACGGTTTCGATGCTCGTTGTTCAGAGCTTCCGGGGGCCAAATGCTGGCATGAAGAAATGCCTGACAAGAACCGGAGTGATGGTCGTACGTGCAGATAAGTATAATAATCTTTGTTGTCATTGTTCTTAAATACAACGAAATTGGTTTTAACCTGACTGGTGCAAAATTATAGCGGAAACGAAAAAAGAAAGAAAAAGAAAAAAAATTAGCGTGTGCATAGAGTGATTGTGGTTGTATTTAAAAGTCTGACAGCCCAAGGATAGAAACCTCTTTGTTCGGCTGGCTGTACTTTGATGTCTTCTGCCCGAGGGTAGAAGTGCAAAGAGACACTGACCAGGGTGTGAATCATCTCTGAGTATCTTCCTTACTCTGCTAAAGCAGCGAGACCTGGCGATGTCATCCAGGGGTGTCAGAGGGCAACCAATGATTTCTTGTGCCGAATTGANTGTTATTCCTGAAATTAAAATTAAAAACCTTTCTGTTCTTACAGATTCTCAGGACTGAATTCAGCAGTGAAAAAAAAGACCTTGAAAAAAGGATTGAGGTATGGCACTTGCGTCCTTTGCACTCAGAATCTTAACATCGCCGGAGAGGGGAATTTGGGGCAGCCTTTTTCCCCTTTAGAATTCAGTTTTCTGAAAGCAAGGAAAATTATTTCCCCAAGCCAGAGGAATGTTTAGCTGCGATCTGTTCTTCTGCAGCCCCAAAATATTTTTCTCTTATCTAATCTGGAACAACGATGCATCACAATACAACATGGGTGTGTTAAATATTTGGAATACTGCATCCAGTTTTGGTCGCCATGACGTAAAAAAGATGTGGAGAGACTAGAAAGAGTGCAGAGAAGAGCAACAAAGAGGGTTAGGGGACTGGAGGCTAAAACATTTGAAGAACTGTTGCAGGAACTGGGTAGGATAAGAAACAATGGGTGGAAACTAATCAAGGAGAGAAGCAACTTAGAACTAAGGAGAAAATTCCTGACAGTGAGAACAATTAATCAGTGGAACAACTTGCCTCCAGAAGTTGTGAATTCTCCAACACTGGAAGTCTTTAAGAAGACGTTGGATAGTCATTTGTCTGAAGTGGTGTGGGGTTTCCTGCCTAGGCAGGGGGTTGGACTAGAAGACCTCCAAGGTCCCTTCCAACTCCCTTTCTATTCTGGTCTAGTCTAGTCTATCAAGGAGAGAAGCAATTTAGAACTAAGGAGAAATTTCTGAACAGTTAGAACATTTAATCAGCGGAACAGCTTGCCTCCAGAAGTTGTGAATGCTCCAACACTGGAAGTCTTTAAGAAAATATTGGATAACCATTTGTCTGAAACGGTATAGGGTTTCCTGCCTGAGCAGGGGGTTGGATTAGAAGACCTCCAAGTTCCCTTCCAACTCTTATTCTATTCTATTCTGCTCTGCTCTGCTCTGCTCTGCTTCTGTTCCATTCCATCCCCTCCCCTTCCCTATTCTATTCTATTCTATTCTATTATTGTATTCTATTGTATTTCCTATTCTATTGTATTTCCTATTCTATTCTATTGTATTCTATTTCCCATTCTATTTCCTATTCTATTCTATTTCCTATTCTATTCTATTTCCTATTGTATTCTATTCTATTCTATTTCCTATTGTATTCTATTCTATTCTATTTCCTATTG